GTAAGATGAACACAAGTCAACAGTGTGCTCTTGTTGCAAAAAAAGGCCAATACCACAGTGAGTTGTATTAACAAGTCTTCCACTTACAAGTCAAGGGAAGTGATTTTTCCACTCAATTCAGCATTTGGTGACGCTTCACCAGGAGTATTATGTTTAGCTTTAAACACCACACTTCAAGAAAGATGTACAGAAATTTGAGTTCCACAGAGAGCAACAAAAACAATCGGAGTTCTGGGGAATGTGATTTATAAGGAAAGTGTGGAAGAAATGGGATTATTTAGTCTAAAGAAGAGAAGACTGGGAGGGAGGTGGTTGACAACAGACCTCAAATTCCTGAAGGCTGGTTATAAAGAGGATTGTGATAGATTACTCTCTGTGACTGCAGGGGACAGGACAAGAAGCAATGATCTTAAGTTGCAACAAGGGACATTTAGAATGGAAGAACTTTCTATGAGGATGGATAAACATTGGAATAGATTAGTCACAGAGGTTGTGGGATCTTCATCCTTAGAAGTTTCTAGGAGCAGGACAGATAAACACTGTAAAGGTTTAGACAGGAATGAGCCTGCCTTGAGCAGGGGTTTGGAGTAAGTACCTTCCTGAAGTCCCTTTCAGTCCTACATTTCTACCATTCTGCAGGCTCAGGAGGATCTTGGCCATGTGGGAAGAGTAGCTTTCACATATGGGAAATTATTGCAGGGAAGTGAAAAAGTGAAGAATGAATAGCTTTCCTGAGTACCTCTGTGGTTGCTGGCAGTCTCTTTAAAACTAAGGGTCATCTCATAATGCACACTGCTACTTGTGGTAATCCTGAAAGATGCATGTATTTTGTTTGATCCCAACCAGGGATTTGGAAGATGAAGGGAACTTTTCCAGTGCACTACAGAGATCACATTACAATATGCATGGCTTTAATCCAGGATGCACATATAGTGGCTTTGGGACATTATCTCTTACTTCTCTTCTTTACTTGCTACTGTACCATCAGACCAAATTAATCACACAGCACAGTCCAAGTGATTCCTAAATCTTCCCATTTGCTCTACACTGGAGTTCAAGCTTCCATCACTCTTTGTAACTCTTCACCTCATTAAACTTAGGTTAGCATGTATCTGACTCAGGATGGGAGAAATGGAATTCCACGTGTCATTGCATTGCAACTCTGCTGCTTAACCCTGAACCTAAAAGATCTCTTGAAAAGAAAAAAAATATTTCGAAAGCGCCTGGTTTTGGAGTCACAAATGCATCTTTCCTTTCATCCATTTTCCCCAAAGAAAACGATAGATTTGGGACAACGAGGTTGAAACGCAGGGCACTATCAAGAGAGGCCTAAATACTGGGGATGGAAGTCTGTCTTGTTCTCTCTCTGTTACTTGTGAGAAAGGACTATCAAGTTTAGAAGCTTAACTCCACGGGAAGATTTATAGCTCCGAATCCTGAGCAGAGCTAGGCACCTCTGTACAGCCTGGAGTTAGCTGACTTGGACTCTAAACCCCACTGCTCTCTTAGGCATTTCCTACTGGCCCTCTTAGGCAGCTCCACTTTCAGCTTGCTAGCTTTCTGTGAACCCTACACTGAGGCATCTCGCTCACCCTATCCACTGAATAGGGAGCTTGGGTGCCCACCTCTGAGGTGAGGATTTCACTAGGCAGCTGGATACCTACAAATTATGTATTACAAAGTTTTCTGACTGTAGGAGTGGGTAAGCACTGGAGCAGATGATCTAGAGAGGTTGTGGAATCTCTGTCATTGGAGGCTTTTAGATGCAGAATAGTTTAGACAGGGCTTATCCTGCCTTGATCTCCTAGGGCTGCTTTCAGCCCTGTTTTTCTGAAAGTGAAGCAGTGTCTCAGTCCATCTGTGGCTTTAGTCCTTAGAAAACTAAGTCTTATTGAAAGTTAATAGGACTTAGGCTCATAATCAGGTATCCTGGTTTTCTCTGATACAAAAAATCCCCAATTTTCAGATTAAAAAAGTAACCCCAAATCCACATTTTTGCATGCTTTAAATGAAACACTACTATATATAGGTCTATATATTAGTGGTGTTTCATTTTAATCATGGAAAAATGTAGATTTGGGGTTACTTTTTTTGATCTGAAAGTTGGGGGTTTTTTTATCAGAGAAAACCAGGATCTCTGTTCATAATTAAGCAACGTGGGGGAGGGGAAGACAAAAATTAAGACTTAGGGTCATAAGGTGCTTTTGAGAATGTTATTTGTGGTCTTTAAAGCAGCCTAACCTATTTTTACTGAGTCAGTCTCAAAATCACATCTTGAAACCATTTCAGGTAGAGGCCACCTTGAAACAGGTCTACATTACAGGGGTTGTTTATTTTGTAAAAAATGTTTTTAAATTGGCTCAATTGAACTGGTTTGACAACTGCTATAAGAGTTCACTGCTGTAGAGATGTCTGTTTTGTCATAATGGCATGACTTGGAGTTTTTCCTGATTTTCCTGGGAGAAGGTTGAGGCCCAGCATGATGGTGCTGTATCACAAAATGCTGGTGTGATGAAGCACATGGATGATATAATGATATAACCACTTTGCCCTGTAGGACAAACTAATAAACATAGAATCTTTGCTTTGACTGATACTAACATCTCAAAATAAATACAAAACGAACCCAACCAACTATGTCAAAAGTTAGGAGGTGTATACAAGGTTTAGAAAGCATCTAGTAAGAAAATATTTGAAAAAGTACATGTGTATGGGAGACTTACACTATCAGCTGGATGAGGAAATGGATTAAGTTTCTCTCAGTAAGTCTTTTATGATGATTGTCATGCTGGATAAACAAAATTTTGATTTACTTCTGGCAAAACCATCCAAGATTGACCTTTTTTGATTCCGGGAACCACACTGACTGCGTGTTACATCCTCAATAACTGTCTTCTACCTCTTGCTGAGGAAATCCTACTGGAATCTCAGTATGGTTTCAGGCCATCCTGTGGGATAGTTAACATGATTTTTTTGCTTGGCAGGTTCCAGAAGAGTGTCAGAAACAATACCAGGACCTGTATATGACCTTCACTGACCTCACTGAGGCCTTTGATTTCATCAGTTGTGAAGCCTTATGGAAAGTACTGGCCAGATTTGGATGTTCTGAAAAGTATATCAAGGTCCTGAGGCATCTTTACAACCAGATGACTGTGACAGTTTTATGTAGCAGATTGGAGACAGATCCATTTGTCATCTGAGCTGGGGTCAAGCAAGGATGTGTCATCACCCCATCTCTGTTCTCCATTTTTTTGACAGTCATCCTGATTCTCATTAAGGATCACCTTCCCCCTGGAATTGAGAGTGAATATTGAATGGATGGAGGGTTTTTCAACCTGCAATGTCTTTGCTCAAAGACTAAAGTACTTAAAATAACCATCCTTGACCTTCAATATGCTGATGACTGTGCCATCCTTGAACACACTGAGGAAAACCTCTAGACTGTGCTAGATCTTTTTGGACCTTTGGGCCTTCCTCTCAACGTTGTGGAGACTAAAGTGCTCTATCAGCCTGCCCTGGGCCATGAATGTGGTCTGCCTCCACAAATTACCATCAAGGGAAAGACCCTGGAGGTAGTTAGACACTTTCCCTA